GAATTATTTTTTATCTCTCACAGGACCTTCTATGGGCCGAAACGAATGTTGCCCCCTAAAATTATTCCTCATAAGACATACATCCCACAAGTTTATTTCAAAATTGGCGAGTCACACTTCCCTAGTTTCCCTTGTGAGTACTATATTTAACCAAAATAATGCGTTTAAATGTGTCCTAATCAAATTTTTTATTCACAATAAATCAAAAGTTGTTCACAAAAGTTCACAAACACAAAGTTCTCAAATGCAAAAGTTCACCCGTTCTATAATTACATTTGTAAATTCACTTACCCATAAAGATAATAAAATTGTAATGTTAAATGCAATACTATCAGTAAATGTATTATATTCTAATTGTAAATCTAATCATGTTTGCAATATTTCGAATTTAATAAATAGGTCTTATATATTTCGATATATTTCTTGGCCAAGTTGAAGCATATCGCCAAGTTAGTGCTTGATTTTTATAAATTGCACCCCTCACATGTCGATGAGGAGAGAGATCTACCTTCAAACGTTATCAACTAGCAGCGCAATCAGCATACTGTAAGGGGTGGGGGTTATAATTGAGGCAATTACTGAGCGCAGTCCACCATTGCCCCTTTCATATAACTCGACATTCGTAGAATAAAATGTTTTTTATTCAATAAAATTTTTTACCCAAATTTCTTTATTAAATTTTTAGACGACTAAAAAAGACACATCGTATTTTATAGTTTTGAAAAAATGAAAATAAAAAGATAAGCAAACGATTAATAGCGAAAAAAATATGAATGAAATTTTACGCTATGCGCGCTAAATCAATTTCCGCCTAAGTTTATCACCCATTTAATTATTTCTTCATTGTCGCCAAATTATTTTTTTTAAATAATTAATTTTAATTTTTCTCATCTTCCAATGAATAAAAACAGTTGAAACTTTAGATATTTCAATTGAAAAATATGTAGATTAATATGGTATAAAAAAATTCGTACCTTATAATTCAACATTTTTTCATCCTCACTTTAATTAAATAATAAAAAAGAATAAATAGTTACTAAAAAAAATTTTTCATGAAATTATCTTTGGGTAAATGAGTTTTAGGAGTGGGCGCAATTTCTTTTTTAATTGCTTCATTAGTTTTGAAAATATGACTGAAAACGAAAAAAGCGAAATTAACATTAAGGGGTCCAAACTTTGAACCGCTCTCCTGACCAAACTATGGGTCCACATTTTCCAGATTGCGGCTACCCCCTATATTTTGAAAATAAGGAATCCAAATATGTAAAAAAAATATATGTTTATTCAGAGAAAGTACGTTTTGTGTCTGATTTCGTAACTTAATTAATAGTTAGCACTAATTAATTAGCATATTTAAGGTCACCCCCAGGAACCACTAAGATTGACACTTAGTTCGTGAAAATCCGATCATTAGAACAAAAGTAATTCAGGGTGATATTTTTTTTTTTGTTTTTTTTTTTTGCGGACGTTACATGGCTAAAAATTAAATTCTTTCATCATACTGCAAGTTCAAACAAAAATACAAAATATAGAGCCAATGATACCGTATATCTTACGTATATCAATATACGACTACTCATGTTTTATGCTAGCACCTGCAATTACCAGTTGATTGAACTACACGAAATTACCACTGCGCGATACCACAAAGCGGTAGTTAATAATTGGTATTCAAAAATGTATTCAATAACCGATTTGTTAAAAATATCTTAAGTTAATAAAAAGTATACAAATTTTCGTTTAAAAGCAAAAAAAAAATTAAAAAAATCATAAAATGGTAATTAAATTGCATGAAACATAACCTAAGTATTGTAAACAATACTTGATTTCTCCTAAACCAGTAACATGTAGATTAAATGTATGACTTAGGTTCGTGATAAATTACGTATGCATTACGTTCTTCGAACTCTTTTTATTCAAATCTTTAATTCAAAACTAAATTTAAAAATTGTATTTTACAGATAGAATCCGTAAGGATAAAAGATCTGGAAGCTGGACACTCATGACTTTTAAAACAGAATCGACTGAAAGAGCTGACTTCATAAATCATTTTTCTGAACTTCCTTCTTTGCAGAGTATTGCAGTCGTGTCGATTGCAATTGGGCTATGTACGGCTCCTGATATAAGGAATGAAATGACATCTTCTTTCTTATCATCTCTCATAAACTATAGCAAGGATATGGCTGAGTTGGAGAGCAGAATATTAAACAAATTGTCTAATAGCTCTTTGCCCTCATCGCTGAAGACAAAAATCTCATACGTTATTCGACCCATTTTGTGGCAGTTGTGGAAAGCGTTTCGTAGTTACTGTAGATGGACAGGATATAAAGAAAATCTCTGTGATGAGCATTACATGAAGTGTGGTACAATTTATTGGACAGTTGAGGGGACAGTTGACACAGTGAAATCCCTTACGGAACTATTCAATAATGGAAGCTTAGGAAGCTTAGATATTTGCCATTTGTATGAGATAGCCTGCTCTCACTGTTTAAGGGAATATGCTTCGATTTTGTGGGAGAAGATTCCAGAGGAATTTAGAAACCGATTTAGAATCGCTACGGTAACAAATAAATACCACCACGATTTGATTATATATTGGACATGTGTCCTCGAGAATAATTTAGGGAGTTTTCTAACTAGACTCATAGATCCTAAAAATGTATACGATGATAAGCTTAGTATTGATGCAAATATGATTGCTTGTTCGATTCTAATGGGTAACATAGTTGCCCTAAAGTATTTTTGGAAAAAATTGACGGAGAATGAGAAAAATGATCATTTGAGTAAATGGCTTTTGCAAGCCACTCGACGTGTGGGAGTTCAAAATCCTTCACTTTATGTGTATTCTTCAGAAGCTTTAGATGTTTTATGTTTTTTATTATCTCATATCAATCGTAGAACTCAAATGATCGAATTTTTTCGGAATCATTCTCGAGTATTAGTGTTTTTGTACGAAAGTTGGCCATATCAAAGAATATTCTTGTCCACTATTTCTGAACTATTGGATAATCTTCAAGAAGACATTTATTCATGTATAATGCTGAATATTAGTTCCAAGATGAGTAAAATGGGAAATGAAATGATGATTTTTGAAGAAATATGGAGTGCCAGTTCATTTAGACTAAGACGATCATTTCGGAAAAATGAGCTTCTTTGCAAAGAAGTGTTGTTGCATTTGCTGAAATTAGAAAATCTGAACATGGCTATTAGGATCTTCAATGATGCTTCCAAAGAAGAGATTAAGCTATTTATCTGCTTCATGTTTGGTCGGCCTGAATTTCGCCGTGCTATTTATTCAAGCAATCTGAATTCGCTTCACATGTTATTATCAAAATCTACCTTGCCACCAGAATGTTATCCCTATAAAATGAATAGCAGCGAGCAAGATAGACTGATAATATCGTGGCTAATTAGACTTAGCAATTGTCATATTTGTATTGAGTGGATATGCGATGGCAACATCCAAGCTGCTGAGTCCTTCTTGATTTGGGTTTATCAATCTGTGGAAATTGAAACATTTAAGAAAACAATATCATCTCCAAATGTTATCTATTTGACATTAATATTTTTGTCCAACTATGAGCGTGTGGACCAGTTCATGAATTGGTATTTCCGGACGGGAGAGGAAATTCAACAATTTAAAGCAGACTTTGTGCGAAAATGGAGTAATTATTATTTCAAGCGATTCATAGACATGCCGTTCATTGTATCAAGAAGAGAAGGCGATGTGTTGCAAAAATTTATAAACTACAACTTGTCTTCTCTTGAAAACGTTGTAGAATTTCGACTTATTTGTCGTAGTTGTATAGAGTATGCACTGAGTAAAGGTTTTCTTGAAAGTGCCACCTTACTTTTGAATGCATCTTTTGATAATATCAATGAAGTGAAGCGATACAAAAACGAACTTATACTATCTGAGAAAGGAATTAAAAAGGATTTAATCTTAAAGCAATCACTAACTGATGCTGACTGGAATCATGTGAAAGAAATTGTATTGTGGTCGTCGCCTCTAACCTTAAATACAGTCACAGAATTAAAGTCACTAATTCTGGAGCAGAAGAATAGTCACTCTTTTCAAGATAAATTGAATCCACAGATTTCAGCTCTCCTTGATTTACTGGAGAATGTTGTTGAGAAAGATAGCAGATTATAGTTGATCATTTTTTTGCTATCAATAACGAATTTAAATAAAATCATATTCACTGTCAAAATACAAATCATTTTCACTGCTCAATCACTGTCAAAAGATGAATTGTGTTGTGATAAATATGTAATTCCATTTTTGAGCGTTAGTTGTTTAATGTTTATGAAACAATATCCGCTATACATTATTTGCCACAACTTTAATAATTAATTTAATTGTCGCAACTTTATTTTTTTATTCTCGTTATATCTGAAGAGAAATCAACAATTTTAAGTGGTTTATTTTTCCTCACTATTCCCAAAAACAGTCACTAGGAAGATGTTCAAAAGGAAAGGAAATAACAGAAAAAAGAAGAAAAGGGGGGGAAAGAAAATAATAATAAAAATAATAAATAATAAAAATAAATAAACAAAAATCCGAAAAAAAGGGTTAAAAATTTACAAAAAAAAAGATATAATCTTTTCATCAGCCCACACTATTATATCCGCAAGAAAGAGTGCTTTCTAATATTGTCTCAAAATAGACAAAGTAAAATATATCGATACAATAGTGTGAGGAGCACTCAAAATTTTTTTATGAAAATACAACAATAAAAACATGTGTTTACGTGTTATTTTTACTTATTGTGTTCTATATATATTTTTTTTATTGTTGTATTTTCATAAAAAAATTTTGAGTGCTCCTCATACTATTGTATCGATATATTTTGCTTTGTCTATATTGATACTATGGAGGCGTAATATTCAGGGTACCAATTTTATGGAGAAGGAATTATTTCCTGTGTGGTTGGAGGGTATACTGGACTAGTTGAAGATTGTGATGAAAACAGAAGATGATGAAAATTAACGGTTGAACCGGATCATACTTAATAAAAAGCTTTTATTTTATAGTATTTGCAGAGCTTGAGTTACAAAATATAAATATTATTCATAAGAATTTCAGTTGAATAAGTTTTGCATAGTAATATTAATAAGGACAGGCCATGGGAGACAAATCCCCCACGACCTGTCTAAACTAAAGCCAAATTAAAAAGTACGTGTAATTTGTTCCCAACGAATACAGAAGCATAGGTAGGAGATCCAAAATTGGCGAATTATCAAAATATAGCATAGCCAAAAAAAAGCCAACCAGCATAATAATATTGGTTTTAAAAGAATACCTTGGCGATCACGAGTCGCCAACAAATTTATGAGAATAATTACAACCATGCAACTGAAATATATTTTCGGTTAGAAATCAGAATAAAAAGCTATAAATAGATTTTTGTTTTCGATTAGAGGCGACAGTGAATAAATAAGTCTGCCTAGTAATGAAATAAAAAAAGTATCCGTTACATTCATCTATCTATAAGAGAAGAAAATATATTTTATATTTGTTTTAAAAGATTAAGTCTTTGATTTATTTTAAATATAATTCTATTAATAAAAATAAGCTTAAGTAATCAAAGATATTTTAAAAGATGGGAAATAAATATGTAATGACAATTGTGGCATCACATATTTTCCTGGAGACTTTCATTTTTGTTTCATCCATTTACTTTCATTACTGGCCTTAATGAACAATCATGAATTCCACTATACGAACATTAGAGGCTACTGACGGAGAAACAAACCTTCCGTCATAGATACAATATTAGAAAGTACTCTTTCTTGCGGATATAATCGTGTGGGCTGATGAAAAGATTATATCTTTTCTTTTTTTTTTGTTAATTTTTATCCTTTTTTTTCCAGATTTTTGCTTATTTATTTATTTTATTATTATTATTTATTATTTTTATTATTATTTTCCTTTCCCCCCTTTTTTTTCTTTTTGCTGTAATTTCCTTTATTTTTGAACTTATTCTATTAGATCTATTTACTTTGCAGCTTATGCGTATTAAATAAAACTTATTTTCTTATTTTCTTCGTGTTTTTTGTTTTTATTTATTTTGATATATATATATATATATATACAAGGTAATAATATATTGTACTGAGTAATTCAATGTTTATAATTAATAAAAGGTCGAATTTTTAATGCAGAATTTTAATTCGATGATTTTTATCATCAAAATTAATAACATTTATTGAATAATATTAATTATGTAATTGAATATTTAGCAGATTATTGGTAAATTAAAATATCTTTAGCCACGGATTTTAGCAACACCTCCTAGAAAGAACAGGCCTCAGCACGGGTTACCATAAATATCCCTTAGTAGTCCAAACGTAATGACATAGTTTGTATTTTCAATCACTGCGCAGCTTAGTACCCCTAACGTAA